GGAACCAGGGGGGCCGCTCATCCATTCCCGGAACCAGGGGGCCGCTCATCCCATTCCCGGAACCAGGGGCCGCTCACCCCATTCCCGGAACCAGGGGCCACCCATCACATTCCATTCCCGGAACCAGGGGCCACTCACCCATTCCCGGAACCAGGGGCCACTCACCCATTCCCGGAACCAGGGGCCACTCACACCCATTCCCGGAACCAGGGGCCACTCACCCATTCCCGGAACCACTCACCCCCATTCCCGGAACCAGGGGCCACTCACCCATTCCCGGAACCAGGGGCCACTCACCCATTCCCGGAACCAGGGGCCACTCACCCATTCCCGGAACCACTCACCCATTCCCGGGGGGCCACTCACCCATTCCCGGAACCAGGGGCCACTCCACCCATTTCCCGGAACCAGGGGCCACTCACCCATTCCCGGAACCAGGGGCCACTCACCCATTCCCGGAACCAGGGGCCACTCACCCATTCCCGGAACCAGGGGCCACTCACCCATTCCCGGAACCAGGGGCCACTCACCCATTCCCGGAACCAGGGGCCACTCACCCATTCCCGGAACCAGGGGCCACTCACCCATTCCCGGAACCAGGGGCCACTCATCCATTCCCGGAACCAGGGGCCACTCATCCATTCCTAAGGCTGGAGTCACGCTTGAGTGTTGCATCTTTAATCCTTTTCGCTGCCGGAGCAGTTTTTGCATTTCTTTGCACAAGTTTGAAAAAACAATTTTTGTTACAGGGGAACTTCTCCTAACAACAGGTAGAACATGTAACATGTTCCCAAAGTTGATCCTTTTTAAGCGGTTTTTGCACAATTTTTGCAAGTTTTCATACAGCATTTTTCAGACATTTTTTTTAGATTTGGCACTTTAATAATAATAATAATAATAATAATAATAATTAGTACCACTGGATTGTCGTAAGGCCAATATGGGGCCAATATTTAAAAAGGTGTCAAAATCTTTACCAAGTAATTATAGACCTGTTAGTGTAACTTCTATAGTTGGGAAGATATTGGAGAGTTTAATAAAAGACACAGAGGAGTTCTTGCTGGAAAAAAATATTTTAAGCAAACAGACAGCATGGAGTCATGAAAGACAGAGGGCAACCAAACTGATAAGAGGCATGGAGGAGATCAGCTATGAGGAAAAATTAGAGGAACTGAATTTATTCTCTCGAGAAGAGGAGATTAAGGGGGATATGATCTCCATGTATAATACATAAGGGGGGGGATATGATCTCCATGTATAATACATAAGGGGGGGGGATATGATCTCCATGTATAATACATAAGGGGGGGATATGATCTCCATGTATAATACATAAGGGGGGATATGATCTCCATGTATAATACATAAGGGGGGATATGATCACCATGTATAATACATAAGGGGGGATATGATCACCATGTATAATACATAAGGGGGGATAGATATGATCACCATGTATAATACATAAGGGGGGATATGATCACCATGTATAATACATAAGGGGGGGATATGATCTCCATGTATAATATATAAGGGGGGGATATGATCTCCATGTATAATACATAAGGGGGGGGGGATATGATCTCCATGTATAATACATAAGGGGGGGGGGATATGATCTCCATGTATAATACATAAGGGGGGGATATGATCTCCATGTATAATACATAAGGGGGGGGGGGATATGATCTCCATGTATAATACATAAGGGGGGATATGATCTCCATGTATAATACATAAGGGGGGGGATATGATCACCATGTATAATACATAAGGGGGGGATATGATCTCCATGTATAATACATAAGGGGGGATATGATCTCCATGTATAATACATAAGGGGGGATATGATCTCCATGTATAATACATAAGGGGGGATATGATCACCATGTATAATACATAAGGGGGGGATATGATCTCCATGTATAATACATAAGGGGGGATATGATCTCCATGTATAATACATAAGGGGGGATATGATCTCCATGTATAATACATAAGGGGGGATATGATCTCCATGTATAATACATAAGGGGGGATATGATCTCCATGTATAATACATAAGGGGGGGATATGATCTCCATGTATAATACATAAGGGGGGATATGATCTCCATGTATAATACAGAGTTCTGTGCTTACAAAACACATAGTAAAGTGATCTGGCTTTTTCTTCACCTTGAAAAACAGGGGAAAAAACAGGCAGATATGTGAGTAAAAGCAGCACGTACAGTGGAGCAAAAAAGTATTTAGTCCCCACCAATGGTACAAGTTCTCCCCCACTTACAAAGATGAGAGAGGCCTGTAATTGGCTTCATAGGGAGACCTCAACTATGAGAGACAAAATGAGAAAACAAATCCAGACAATCACATTGGCTGATCTGGAAAGAATTTATTTGCAAATTATGGTGGAAAATAAGTATTTGGTCACCTACAAACAAGCAAGATTTCTGGCTCTCACAGACCTGGACCTTCTTCTTTAAGAGGCTCCTCTGCCCTGCACTCATTACCTGTATCAATGGCACCTGTTTGAACTTGTTATCAGTATAAAAGACACCTGTCCACAACCTCAAACAGTCACACTCCAAACTCCACTATGGTGAAGACCAAAGAGCTGTTGAAGGACGCCAGAAACAAAATTGTAGACCTGCACCAGGCTGGGAAGACTGAATCTGCAATAGGCAAGCAGCTTGGTGTGAACAAATCAACTGTGGGAGCAATAATTAGAAAATGGAAGACATACAAGACCACTGATAATCTCCCTCGATCTGGGGCTCCACGCAAGATCTCATCCTGTGGGGTCAAAATGATCACAAGAACGGTGAGCAAAAATCCCAGGACCACATGGGGGGACCTAGTGAATGATCTGCAGAGAGCTGGGACCAACGTAACAAAGGCTACCATCAGTAACACACTACGCCGCCAGGGACTCAGATCCTGCAGTGCCAGACGTGTCCCCCTTAAGCCAGTACATGTCCCGGCCCGTCTGAGGTTTGCTAGAGAGCATTTGGATGATCCAGAAGAGGATTGGGAGAATGTCATATGGTCAGATGAAACCAAAACTGTTTGGTAGAAACACAACTCGTCATGTTTGGAGGAGAGAGAATGCTGAGTTGCATGCAAAAAACACCATACCTACTGTGAAGCATGGGGGTGGCAACATCATGCTTTGGGGCTGTTTCTCCGCAAAGGGACCAGGATGACTGATCCATGTACAGGACAGAATGAATGGGGCCATGTATCGTGAGATTTTGAGTGCAAACCTCCTTCCATCAGCAAGGGCATTGAAGATGAAACGTGGCTGGGTCTTCCAACATGACAATGATCCCAAACATACCGCCCGGGCAACGAAGGAGTGGCTTCGTAAGAAGCATTTCAAGGTCCTGGAGTGGCCTAGCCAGTCTCCAGATCTCAACCCCATAGAAAACCTTTGGAGGGAGTTGAAAGTCCGTGTTGCCCAGCGACAGCCCCAAAACATCACTGCTCTAGAGGAGATCTGCATGGAGGATGGGCCAACATACCAGCAACAGTGTGTGCCAACCTTGTGAGGACTTCCAGGAAACGTCTGACCTCTGTCATTGCCAACAAAGGATATATAACAAAGTATTGACATGAACTTTTCATATTCACCAAATACTTATTTTCCACCATAATTTGCAAATAAATTCTTTCCAGATCAGCCAATGTGATTGTCTGGATTTGTTTTCTCATTTTGTCTCTCATAGTTGAGGTCTCCCTATGATGCCAATTACAGGCCTCTCTCATCTTTGTAAGTGGGAGAACTTGTACAATTGGTGGGGACTAAATACTTTTCTGTCCCACTGTATTACCCCTCTTAGGCACGGTTAACCCCTTCATGTTAACCCCTTCCCAGCCAATGTCATCAGTACAGTGTATAGTATTAACACTGATCACTGTATTAGTGTTACTAGTGACATCAGTGTCAGTTAGCGCCTGATTGTCCACCACACTATCACAGTCCCACTATAAGTTGCTGATCACCACCATTGCCAGTATACCATCACAGCTGTGTAAGTTCCAGTATATATCCCATAGTTTGTAGACGCTATAAAACTTTCACACAAACCAGTTATACACTTATATTGATTTTTTTTTTTTTGTAGCAGAATGGATTTTGGCCTAAAATTATGAAGAAAGTTTATTGGATAGGTTTTATAACAGAAAGTAGAAAATGCTGAGGGGGTTTTCTTCAGATTTTTCATTTAAATAAATTCCATTTGTGCAAGAAAAAAAAAAAAAAAAAAAAAAAAAAAAAAAAAAAAAAAAAAAAAAAAAGATATAAAATTTCATTTTGGTATAGTGTTGAATAACTGCGCAATTACCAGCTAAAGTTGTGCAGTGCTGAATAGCAAAAAATGGCCTGGTCATGAAAGGGGTAAAACCTTCCGGAGGTCAAGCGGTTAATAAACTGTAAAAATGAGCAGACAAGGAAAGTTCTGTTAAAAAAAAAATCTATTTTGCACAAAAAATACAATCACTCATTTACCCCCCAGGGTTCACATACATGCGGCCGTGGGGGCCGCGTTTTGCACGGGCACAGGAGCCCATTCATTTGAATGGACTCCCGTGCCCGGGGACAAGCAGGGAAGAAGTCCCTGCACTTCTTCCGAAAACACAGCCCACATGGGAACCTCGGTTCCCAGTACGGTTGCGTTTTCCAGCACGGGCGGCGTGCTATTAGAATTAATGGCACCCGCCCGCGGGTCCGCATTTCTCTGGGCGGGTGGTGTGGCTGCACGGATTTTCATGCGGATCCGCAGAGGCACCACCCACACAGATGTGAACCTAGCCTTAGAGGGTCTTTAACGAGAACCTTCCGCCTGGCCATCCAGAACCCAGTCCGCAGCTCCCAGTGCAATTTGGAAGTACAAAAGGCCGGTGTGGATGGGCTTCAGGGTTGAGATGATAAAATAATGGTGTAGCGCTGATAACTATATGCGCAAACTCCACAATAGGATGAAAAACATAAATCACATAAATGAATGAATTTAACCGCCTCCCGCCCGCCATAGTAATATGATAGGAACAAGGTGGTTCTCTCGTTCTGGGAGGACGTCATATGATGTCCTCCCATTCTCACCGTGCATGCGCGGCTCAGTGAGCGCGCATGCATGGCTCAGGGAGCACGCACGCGGCGATCGGCGGTGCGCTGTCCCCCTCGGACACAGCGGATCACCGATCCACGGAAAGAGCCGAAGATGTCGGCTCGGTCATGTGATCAGCTGTGTCCAATCACAGCTGATCGCGTGTAAATAGGGAAATGCTGGTTATTGGCATTTCTCCCCCCCCACGAGCTGTCACACTGACAGAGGAGAGGAGAGCCGGTAATCGGCATTCCTTGGATGGGACATGTACACTGATCATCAGGGCACTGGTGATCAGTGTAGCCCCAGCAGTGCCTTGTGTCAGTGTCCATCAGTGCCTCGTGCCAGTGCCCATCAGTGCCACATATCAGTGCCCATCTGAGCTGCCTTTCAGTGTCACCCATCAGTGCCAGTCAGTGCCACCTATCAATGCCAGAGCCACCTATCAGTGCTGCCAATCAGTGCCGCCTAACAGTGCCTGTCAGTGATGCCTGTCAATGCCCATCAGTGCCACCTACCAGTGCCTCCTCATCAGTGCCCATCAGTGGCACCTATCAGTGCCCATCAGTGCCACCTATCAGTGTAGCCTATCAGTGTCCATCACTGCAGCCTCATTAGCGCACATCAGTGAAGGAGAAAAATCACTTTACAAACTTTTATAACAAAAACTAAGAAAAAACGGGGTTTTTTTTTTCAAAATTTTCAGTGGTTTTTGGTTTAAGAAAAAATAATAATAACCCCGAGGTGATTAAATACCACCAAAAAAAAAGCTCTGTCACAAAAAAATGATAAAAATTTCATATGGGTATAGTGTTGCATGACCGCACAATTTTCATTCAAAGTGTGACAGCGCTGAAAGCTGGAAATTGGCCTGGGCAGGAAGGGGGTAGAAGTGCCCGGTAGGCGGGAAGGGGGTAGAAGTGCCCGGTAGGCGGGAAGGGGGTAGAAGTGCCCTGTAGGCGGGAAGGGGGTAGAAGTGCCCGGTAGGCGGGAAGGGGGTAGAAGTGCCCGGTAGGCGGGGAAGGGGGTAGAAGTGCCCTGTAGGCGGGAAGGGGGTAGAAGTGCCCGGTAGGCGGGAAGGGGGTAGAAGTGCCCGGTAGGCAGGAAGGGGGTAGAAGTGCCCGGTAGGCAGGAAGGGGGTAGAAGTGCCCGGTAGGCAGGAAGGGGGTAGAAGTGTCCGGTAGGCAGGAAGGGGGTAGAAGTGCCCGGTAGGCATGAAGGGGGTAGAAGTGTCCGGTAGGCAGGAAGGGGGTAGAAGTGCCCGGTAGGCATGAAGGGGGTAGAAGTGCCCGGTAGGCATGAAGGGGGTAGAAGTGTCCGTAGGCATGAAGGGGGTAGAAGTGTCCTGTAGGCAGGAAGGGGGTAGAAGTGTCCTGTAGGCAGGAAGGGGGTAGAAGTGTCCGGTAGGCAGGAAGGGGGTAGAAGTGTCCGGTAGGCGAGGGGTTAAACATATAAGTGATAGATCTTTCAAGATCTAGAAAAACAGTGTCTCAAACTGTGATATTATCAGTACACGAAGTGCATATGATGAAGCTGGTCCTATGCCCGGACCCTCATACAGTGACAATACCCAGTCCCACTTGGGACCAAACCCCCAAAAACTAGGTGCTATATACAGTGGGTCCCAAAATAAGGGATATGATCACAAATAAAGTGAATGATATATAAAGTGTATCCCAAAATTGGGATATAAACCAAATAAAGTGACTAGTGAATAATGTTAAACACAACATAAAAACATAAACTTCATAAAACGCATAAAACGATGAAAAGTGTCCAAAAAATTGCCAAAAAAAAAAAAATAGCAAAGATGGCAATGGCTGCCAAAATGTGCCGATATCTGCAAACCACGTGCTATAGTGCTGGTGCAGATGGTGAGCATAGATCCGTAGATGGCAGGCATGCCCCCCCACCTCCTCGCTGCGACCCAAAAGGGTCAACACGCCTCTTGGATCACTCTGGATCCTACAGGTACCAACTCTCCAGGTCGCTCTGATTCCACTGAACCTCACTGGTAACTTCCTTCCAATATGAATCCCTCTTCCATTCAGGGATATACGCAGTGCAGGCCAATAAATGATCACATTACAGCCGTGAAAGGACAAAAAGACAATTCTCCCATAGTGCAACACTATTTAATATGTTAAAAAGCACGATAAATCGCCAAATATTGCGCTCACATTAACGCAGATCAAACAAGGATTGTCACACCACTCAGTATGGGTGTACTGTGTAAACCTGGTGTAGCAAGATGGCGCTCCGCCGGACGTTCGTCACCACGTCGTATCTACGCGTTGCGCCGCGTACACGTGACTTCCTCAGGATAGCGTCTCTGTCACGATCTTAGTTCAGGGTTGAGATGCTTCTGAGAACGTTCAGAACTCATTGAGGATGAAGTACTTCCTTCGGTGGGAATGGTTATTCCTCCCCCATTAGTCCTGGAGAGTTCAGAACTCATTGACAGATGCAACTGACCTCATACTGACCTGCAGTTGACCTGCTTCAAATGGATTTTGCACTCTTATAGATTTGCAGCAGCAAGCTATAGAGAACCTGAGGATGAAGCCAACCAGTACTTCCTTCGGCGGGAATGGTTATTCCTCCCCCATTAGTCCTGGAGAGTTCAGAACTCATTGACAGATGCAACTGACCTCATACTGACCTGCAGTTGACCTGCTTCAAATGGATTCAACAAGCCCAAGCAGTATCAGTAGTGAAATCAGTCCCAGCCCAGACTCTCTCCAGGCCACGTCCCACGGTGAGGGTTTGCATGTCCTAATGATGTCATGTCAAGCTAGAGAGCTACTAGTGGACTGGGAAGCAGCAGCAAGGTATTGAGAACCTGAGGATGAAGTCAACCAGCACTTCCTTCGGTGGGAATGGTTATTCCTCCCCCATTAGTCCTGGAGAGTTCAGAACTCATTGACAGATGCAACTGACCTCATACTGACCTGCAGTTGACCTGCTTCAAATGGATTCAACAAGCCCAAGCAGTATCAGTAGTGAAATCAGTCCCAGCCCAAACTCTCTCCAGGCCACGTCCCACGGTGAGGGTTTGCATGTCCTAATGATGTCATGTCAAGCTAGAGAGCTACTAGTGGACTGGGAAGCAGCAGCAAGGTATTGAGAACCTGAGGATGAAGTCAACCAGCACTTCCTTCGGTGGGAATGGTTATTCCTCCCCCATTAGTCCTGGAGAGTTCAGAACTCATTGACAGATGCAACTGACCTCATACTGACCTGCAGTTGACCTGCTTCAAATAGATTTTACACTCTTATAGATTTGCATGGGAATGCAAAACCCACTAAAAGCAAACAAAAAGCACATTATTTTGTTCAAGCAACACCATTTTTTTGCCCCCCCCCCCACCCCCCACCCCTGAAGATTGTGTGGCCAACAGGGAGGGAAAGGAGTTGGCAGTGGATAAGATTGAGGGTGCAGGGTTGGTTGTGGATTGAGAAGAATCACCAAGGTGAAGAGAACCTGAGGGTGAAGTTGGCCAGTTCTGGTGACCTCCTTTGATGGGCATTGTACGTTCTCCTCCATTACTGCTGTAGAGAAGGACGGCTTATTTCCTGCTATTCATGCCTGATTATCGCATGTCCTAGTGATAGTGCAGGAAAGGAAACCTTCCAGGTGTCGCACATTCAACAAGCCCAAGTAGTATCAGTAGTGAAATCAGTCCCAGCCCAGACTCCCTCCAGGTGAGGTCCCACAGCGAGGGTTTGCATGTCCTAGTGATGTCATGTCAAGCTAGAGAGGTACTAGTGGACTGGGAAGCAGCAGCAAGGTATAGAGAACCTGAGGATGAAGTCAACCAGTACTTCCTTCGGTGGGAATGGTTATTCCTCCCCCATTAGTCCTGGAGAGAAGGACAATTCGTTGATGCTGTCCATAAACAAATAAAGCCAGGTCCTAGTGATGTCTTGTCTATGACAAGCTGCATAGGAACTAGTGAACAGATAGGACTTCTCTACTCCTCTTGCCTACTATCTGTGATGGGACTGGTAGTAGGCCTGAGTACTAGTGAAGTCCTATCCATGATGGGACCGATAGTAAGCTTGAGGTCTGGTGAAGTGATGGGACTGGTAGTGAGTCTGAGGTCCAATGAAGTCCTATCCAAGACAGGACTGGTACAAGGCCTGAGGTCTAGAGAAGTCCTATCCATGAAGGGACTGGTAGTAAGCCTAAGGTCTAGTGAAGTCCTATCCATGGCTGGACAGGTAGCAACCTGAGGTCTAGTGAAGTCCTATCCATGGCGGGACAGGTAGTAACCTGGGGTCTAGTGAAGTCCTATCCATGGCGGGACAAGTAGTAACCTGAGGTCTAGTGAAGTCCTATCCATGACGGGACAAGTAGTAACCTGAGGTCTAGTGAAGTCGTATCCATGACGGGACAAGTAGTAACCTGAGGTCTAGTGAAGTCCTATCCATGACGGGACAGGTAGTAACCTGAGGTCTAGTGAAGTCCTATCCACGACGGGACATATAGTAACCAGAGGTCCAGTGAAGTCCCATCCACAACGGGACAGGCAGCAACCTGAGGTCTAGTGAAGTCCTATCCATGGCGGGACAAGTAGTAACCTGAGGTCTAGTGAAGTCCTATCCATGACGGGACAAGTAGTAACCTGAGGTCCAGTGAAGTCCTATCCATGATGGGACAGGCAGCAACCTGAGGTCTAGTGAAGTTCTATCCATGACGGGACAGGCAGCAACTTGAGGTCTAGTGAAGTCCTATCCATGACGGGTCCACAATGCAGCAACCTGAGGTCTAGTGAAGTCCTATCCATGACGGGACAGGCAGCAACCTGAGGTCTAGTGAAGTTCTATCCATGACGGGACAAGCAGCAACCTGAGGTCTAGTGAAGTCCTATCCATGACAGAACAGGCAGTAGCCTGAGGTCCAGTGAAGTCCTATCCATGATGGAACATATAGCAACCTGAGGTCCAGTGAAGTCCTATCCATGACGGGAGTTGAGGACATGCTGATGGGGCACACTGACCACCAGGTGTCCCGAGAATTGTTGGTCCCCATCTTCTCCTACCATGGGGTTCTAGATATGATCTCCCTCAGTCCTGGAAAACAAGTCACCTGCGCCCCCCCCCCCCTCATATCCGGAGGACATACATGCCCCCCCCAGCCCCCCTCCGCTGTATACACCCACCCGGCGTACCTGAAATACTGGCAGCGGGCAGCCAGGATGACCCGATGGGCGGGGAACCTCATCTTCTCCACCACGAAGGTGACGTCGCTGTACTCTTCGCCGTTGATCAGCGCTCCCACGTTCTCCGACAGAATGTGGACGTGGTCGATCTCCCCGATGGCGGTGTACGGGCGCAGGGGGTGGCTGTTACTCATCCTGACGGCTCTGGATGGATGGACGGACGGACGGATGGATGGACGGACAGAGAAAAGGGTTAATAGCTGTATCCAAATAGTTTCCCCTCCCCCAACAGTCACTTCTTTATCAACATAGCGCCAACATATACCGTAGTGCTGTACAGGGAACACCGAGCCAGCACCAGAGGAGCTCACACTCTAATGTTTCCATGACACTCACACACTAGAACCAGAACAACACACATATATAGCGCTGGCATATACCACAGCGCTGTACACAGTACACAGAGACAGTATTTGCAGTGAGGGGGAGGAGGGAGGACACGGAGGAGCCGGGGGAGGGGTGGACAGGGAGGCAGGACTCTCCCCCGGGATACATCTAAGGGACACACACTGACAGACCGACACAGATCGCATCAGAGCTCCACTCACCAGCAGCAGCAACTGACAGCTCCTTCCTGCGCCTCACTGCGCCCCGCCCACCCATCTAGCGTCAAGATTAACGTCAGCACGCTATGTGCGTCTAATCACGAACGCGGCCATATTTAGTCCGGGCACATCCTCCTCCCCCATAGGAGGGGCTAAGTCAAGCATACAGGTGCTTCCTTCATCCAAGATGGCGGCTGCCGTCCACTAGAGGCCAAAGGAGCTCTTGTCTCCTCCCAGTGGTCTACAGAATAATGGCTGCCAGGTCCTGTCACTTAGGAATCTCTGCTGGCTGCTGTTGTTGGTCTACAGGACCTGTGGAGACTGGGAGGAAGAAGGGAAGGCACTGGAAAAAGTCACATATATTCAAATAGATCTAACAGGTATACACTCACCACCCCACCCCCATCACAGGCCATTGTTCTGATTGCTCTCCACTCTGTCCACTACATAAACTTTTTGGATTTTGCAATTTACATTTTGTTTTTATGGTCTCATTTCTGTTTTTTTATTTAAAACGAAACAATATAATTAATAACATATTTATAAATTAATTAATAAAAAATATAGATAAATATATTTAAAAAACATTATTATTATTATACAGTATTTATAAAGCGCCGATAGTTCGCTCAGCGCTGTACATTACAATGGGAGACAATACATGTGACAGAACAATACCAATACAATGCAAAACATGAGGGGATTGAGGGCCCTGCTCCTTGGAGCTTACAATCTAGGAGGGAGGGGATAGTGGTACGGGAGGAAAAGCTGTGGGGGATGGGGTGGTAGGTTGAGTGGAGGAGATTGGCAATTAGCAGGGGGTGGGGTAGGCTTCCCTGAAGAGGTGGGTTTTTAGGGTGTGCCTAAAGGAGAGGAGAGTGGGTGATAGTCTGAAGGATTGGGGTAGGGAGTTCCAGAGGATGGGTTATGCCCTGGAGAAGTCCTGGAGGCGGGCATGGGAGGAGGAGATCAGGGAACTAGAGAAAAGGAGGTCTTGTGAGGAGCGGAGAGTACATGTTGGGTGGTACTTGGATATTAGGTCGGTGATGTAGTTCGGGGCAGTATGGTGGACAGCTTTGTACGTCAGTGTTAGGATTTTGAATTTGATCCGTTGTGCAATCGGGAGCCAGTGGAGGGATTGGCAGAGGGGGGTGGCGGAGATGGAGTGGTTGGAAAGGTGAATGAGTCTGGCAGCCGTATTCAGGATGGACTGAAGCGGGGATAGCCAGCGGCGAGGCAGGCCAGTGAGGAGGGAGTTGCAGTAGTCGAGTCGTGATATGATGAGGGAGTGGATGAGCTGTTTAGTGGTTTCTGGGGTTAGGAACGTGCGGATTTTGGCGATGTTGCGGAGGTGGAGTCTGCATGTTGCGGAGGTGGAGTCTGCATGAGTTTGTTAGCGATTGGACTTGGGGCTGGAAGGATAGATTGGAGTCCAGAATGACACCAAGTACTCTGGCCTGCGGGGTGGGCCTGATGGTGGCATTGTTGGACACGTGATGGAGAAGTCAGTGGGGGGTGGGTGTCCGGGCTGGGGGGAAGACTAGGAGCTCGGTTTTGGAGAGGTTCAGTTTAAGGAAGTGGAGTGACATCCAATCTGATATGTCGTTCACTAGGCTTGTGATTCGGGTGGAGACTGAAGGGGTGAGGCGAGGGGTCGAGAGATAGATTTGCGTGACGTCGGCATAGAGGTGGTAGTTGAAGCCGTGAGAGTGTATCAGTTGGCCAAGGGAGGAGGTGTAGATGGAGAAGAGAAGGGGCCTGAGGACAGAGCCTTGAGGGACCCCAACAGAGAGGGGGGAGAGAGGGGGAGGTGGTAGTGTTATAGGTAACGTTGAAGGAGCGTTGTGATAGGTAGGATGAGAGCCAGGAGAGAGCGGAGTCTCTGATGCCAAGGGAGTGTAGTTTCTTGAGGAGGAGGGGGTGGTCGACTGTGTCGAATGCCACGGAGAGGTCGAGGAGTAGGAGGACAGAGTAGTGGCCATTAGCTTTGGTGGTTAGAAGGTCATTTGTGAGTTTGAGTAAGGCGGTTTCGGTGGAGTGTAGGGGACAGAAGCCAGACTGTAGGGGGGGTCGAGGAAGTTGTTGTCGTTGAGGTGGGAGCTTAAGGCGAGTATAGACTAAGCGCTCAAGGAGTTTGGATGTAAATGGGAGCAGGGATCGATGGGTCTAAGGTTGTTCGTCGGGTCGGTGGGTCCAGGGAGGGCTTTTTAAGTATGGGAGTGATGTGCGCGTGCTTTCAGAGGGGAGGGGAATGCGCAGCAAGAAGAGAGGGAGAGATTAAAGATGTGGGTGAGGGAGCGTAGTAATGGAGGAGGAGGGAGATAGTAGGAGTTTTGTGGAGGGGGCAGGTGGTGAGGCGGGCTTCAGAGAAGACCTTGGTGACCTCCTCAGTGGTGGTGGGGTTCAAGGAGTGGAGTGTTGAGGGGGCTACTGTGTGAGGGATGTTCGATGGGATTAGATGGATGTTAGATGGGGTAGAGGTCTGAACAGTGGTGAGGCCAAGGGGAAGGGGTGTTGAGGGGTTGCTGTGTGACAGGAGGTAGGTGGGGTGGAGTTCTGAGCAGCAGCGATGTCCCTGCGAATAGTGTCAATCTTATTTTTGAAGCGATTGGCAATCTCGAGGGGCGGTGATGTGTGAGGTGCTGGGTGGAGGTGGGGGATGGCGAGAGTAGAGAGTTGAAGGTCGGCGAGGATTGGAGGAGAGGGCCTTGATGAGGGTCAGAAAGTAGGCCTGTTTGGCTGCGTGGAGGGAGGAGGTGTAGGTGTGGAATAGGCAGATTTGTAGCAGGTGAACGCTAGTTGGGATTTGGTTTTGCACCATAGTTGCTCTAGGGCACGACTGCGTCGTTTTAGAGTTGTGGCATGATCAGTCTGCCAGGGCTGGAGCAGGCGGGGTCTGATGCTTCGTGTGGTTAAAGGCGCTAGCAAGTCTAGAGCTGATGACAGCGAGTTGTTATAGGCAGTCGTGGCCAGGTTGAGGCAGGACAGGGGTGGATGCTGTCATAAAGTTGATCAGCTGCGGAGTGGAAGGGGGCAGGGTTCAGGCTGCTTAGGTTCCGGCTAGTAATATCACAACAATAAAGCAAAAAGGCGCACTCCTGGTGGGTATCGATGTGGAATCATTGTATACCTCCATCCCACATGTATGGGGACAGGAAGCGGGTGCCCATTTTCTGGAGACATACTTTCCCAAAATGGAGGGCTCAAAATGAATTTATATTGGATTTGCTGGAGTTTATGTTGACCCATAACTGTTTTCAGTTCCTGGGTTCCTTCTATCAGCAAATATGTGGGCACCTCCATGGGGAGCACCCTGGGCTCGGCATTCGCGTGTTTACATCTAGGTTTGTGGGAAGAGGAGTTAGTATATCCCTCCACTTCCTATAAACAATATGCAATAACTTGGTTGCGATACATTGATGATGTGCTGATGGTCTGGGATGGAGGTATCGATGAGCTTAAAAGATTTATGGAATTTTTTGAACAAGAATGGTAGAAATATCAAAACTTACTTACACAGTTGGATAGATAACCTTTTTGGATCTGTCACATCTCTGTCCACGGAAATGAATTGGTCACCAAAACATTTAGAAAGGAAAACAACAGCGGCCAATATACTTCCTACATGCTAATAGCTATATCACCCAAGGAGTTTAAAAACAGGGAATTCCTATTGGTCAGTTGCAGAGAATAAAAAAGAAACTGTACAGAAGACTTTAGAGTATAGACCATGAATCTATCCAACTCTATAAGAGGTTTAGAGAGAGGGGCTATTCACATAGAACCCTAATAAGAGCAAAAAGAAGACGCCCTCAGTAAAACAAGAGAGGAACTTATTAATAAAAACCAAATCAAAAGGTAACTGCGAATACTGTAAATCAACCGGTAAGATTTATAACTAAATTTGGACAACAATGGGGTGGAAGTCAAGAAGGCCCTGGACTCCCAATATGGCATTACTAACTCAAAATCCGCAGATAGCGAGATTGGTAGGTGAGAGCCCCCCACCCCATCATATGGTAGCAAAACGAACTCGGAATCTAAATGATATACTAGTACAATCAGAATTTCAGCGAGGGCACCACAAAGAAACTGGCTAGCTAGCAGGACTGGCGTATATGGTATGTTTCCATGGTGGCCACTGTCAGATTTGTCCATTTGTACATAAGTCCAATCAGTTCTTTAACAATGATAACTCTAGGATATTTCAAATACGAAGCTTTATTAACTGCTCTAGTAGTAAAATGATATACATGATAGAATGTCCATGCAAAAAGATATATATAGGTAAAACAAAAAGAAGCCTCAGGACTAGGATTGGCGAAACATCTGAGAGATGATTAGAAATGAAAATAGGAATGCAAGAAAGGGAGAAAAAGAGAACCACTGGCACAACACTTTAAAGAAGTACACGGAGGCAAAACAGATGGTCTAAAAGTGAAGGGATCTTCCTGCTGAATATTTCGGCTCGTCGGGGTGACTTTGACAAAGTCCTCCTACAAAAAGAAAAATTTTGGATTTATACCCTGGGGGCATTTGTCCCATTTGGACTAAATACAGAACCTCAACTTTGGGGTGTTTTTGAAATAAATTCCCCTGAACTCTTATATAATACCCTGAGCTGTAATCTATATTGGGATAACATATATATGAATTAAAAATATGGACCTCTGTGGACAAAATATGAATTCCAAACTATGCAATCTTCTCTATTCCTTTTGGGTGGTGAGCAGGATAATAATAGGACTGATATTTGAGATCCTGGTGGCTGGACTTGGTCTT